AGCCAGAGCCCGGCGCGGCCCATGACTACTTCCGGCGGCCACACTGTCCTCTCCCCTGCCAGTCCCCCAGTTAGAGCAGGACGCCTCTTCCTTCTGAGGTGCAGCCACCAACGCCGATCCCTCCATCGCCGCCAGAAACACCGCCGCCGGCGGCTACAGGGAGGCAGGGAAAGGGGCGGAACCGCGGGGGGTCAAGGGGCGGGTGGTGACGTCACCAGAGGGGCGGGCCTGGTGAAGCGCCGGGCCGGCAGAGTCTTCCCGTCAACCCCAGGGGCATCCTGATTTCCGGTTTGGGTGTGGCCGCAGGGCGGGCTTTGCTGCAGGTGACTGAAGTGGGCGGCACCATGGCGACTGAAGTAATTCGTCATCTTTAGTGCCGCAGAGTAGGATGTGCGTCTCTGGAGACCTTGGAAATGTTGGAATTGCGGTACAAATCCTTAAGATTTTTATAACTTCATAGCCGCTCCTCACTTGACAGTACTATTTAACGACTGAGCGGACTTAAGAACCAGGTCTCCAGTGAGCGGGAAATCCCCTTTTTCAGGCTTGAGACTCAGCCCTTAGTCTTTGCCTCCTTGGTTAGTATTAGGTTAGTATTCACTGCAGGAAGTGTTCCCAGTCACTCGAGATTATGTGTTTCCTTTATAATGTGTACTTTATTTATTGTGTACCCATAGGACAATAGTATTCAGAATATATAAAAACAGTTACCACGGACTTATATTAATGTATTGTGGCGTGTCTTCTCGCTTTCTGGTGCCTATCTAATGTAAGCTTTTTGTATGGGTAGAATGATAATATTCTAGTATGGTGTTACTGCTATCTATTGAAAATTACAAACCATTGGGCCAGGACACACCACAAGACATCTGCCTTTAAGCTTCTTGTTTATTGACCGGTTCTCTTAACAAACTACTCATAGCAATGGAATTTGGTCTTGAGTGAAAAGTACCTGTGAAAATAAAAATAAATAAAGTTGGTAATAGTTCCAGATTTCCATCTATAATTCCATGTAAAGGTGTTACACATTTAACAAACAGCTTTGGCCACCCACTACATGTGAGGCTCTGTCATAGAATAAATAGAATCGTGATTTTTAGAGCTATGCATGATATTAGGTCATGTAGTTTGCCATCTTTGTCTTATGGGTGAGAGAAAGGAACCTCTGGTTAGAGTGACTTGGTCAAGGTCATAGAGTTAATCACTGGTAAATTACCAGAACATAAGTTTGTGGACCTCTATTCTAATTCCCTTTCCCTTGACTCCTTTGTCATGCGTGTTTCTTGTTTTCTTTTTTTAAGTGTTATCCAATAATTAAAAAAAATATTTTTATTTTAACTTGATTTATTTTAATTTGACCAGAGAGAGAGTGTCAGAGAGACAGAGAAAGTGAGAAAGCAAGCCACCAGGTCTGAAACTCAGACTGTGGTTGGCTGTGTGGGAGGCCAGTGCCCTTAACCACTATTTCTCCTACAGGGTCCTTTGATACCTGTTTTAAGAAAATAATTAGGGACCAATTGATGCCATAGTGGTTAAGGCACTGGACTTCCACGTTGCCAATTTCAGTTCAAGTCTCAAAACCAGAGACTTGAAACTCATGCTGGGTGTGTGTGAATGCACACACACTGAGAGGAAAATAGAAGAGAAGGGATTGTGGCTTGGCCATCTCCCCCCCCCAACCCCCCCCACCCCAGGTAGGGGTTGTGATTCCTCACTTTCTCTCTCTCCATCTCTCTCTGTCTGTCCAGCAAGCTAATGCTCCCTGTAGCAAAAAATCTCTCCAAAAAAGAAAAAATAATTAGTTGGACACAATAATGTTAAGATTGTCATTCAAATAACAGTGTATATTCAAATAATAAATATAGAATATTTGTTATTTGGAGTAACATTGTATATTTACACTGTTATTTTTATAGGATTTTAGAAAATGACATATATTTGACTTTGGTTTCTAAATAATTAATAAATGGTACTGTTATTTATTGAGAATTTCTTCCAAGTAATGGTTGATCTTGTTACTTATTTAGAATTTCTTCATCTCTAGTGTGGAGATAAGGGTGCAAGTAAAACTGCATTTTCCTTTGTGCTCTTCTGATTTTTTTTCCCCTCAAAACCGTGCATCTCCAAGTACTCAGAAGTTTTAATTCTTGGAAACTTTATGTTGCTCACCTATGGCACCATCTAAATTTCCCAACCCAGTGTGGATCTTTTCTGTTTAACCACTAAAATGAACTTGGTCCATGTCCTATTCTTTCAAGGTTTTGCTCTAACATTAGATTCATCCCCTGATTTTCTCTTTATCCTGAAGTTAATAACACAGATACCCTTGGCTAGCCCATTCCTCAGATGTCAATTTCTTTGTTTCCTTCTTCTAATTTCTCTTCCCCATTTCTTTCCTTCCAGGCCATCCAAAGTGACTTAAGTATTACAGTTGCACTGTGAGTGACCAACAATTCCAGTATCACTCAAAATTTATTCACTAGCCCTACAAAACCAGATGGGGAAACCTGAAAACTGCCACAGCCTCCCGGACTTCTCTGGTTCTATGTGTCCTGCTGCAAGCATGTCTGAAAGATTTTTTTCTGCTGAAAGCATGTCTGAAAGATATACCACAAATTAGATCCAAACTGTAAGTTACTATTTTGAAATTAGCTAATTGGCATTAAGACGATATAAGAGATGAAAGAATAAAATGATTAAGAATTTGGAAAACTCTGAAATGCAGTGACAAAACTCAATTAGTAATGAAGAATAAATGAAAAGGCACAAAGGCTAATAAACACAAATGATTATGTTTGTTCTCATTCTTGACTTGTTTTCTCATCATTGGTTTGCTAGCTAGATCCTCTAGCCCAGTGGGCATCAAAGGTGAGCAGGCATCAGAACCACTTAGGTTGCTTGCGAAAGCACAGTTTGCTGACCCCTCTCACTTGCAGTTCTGCTTCAGTGTGCCTGGATGAGAAGCTGAAAATTTGCACGTGCAAACAAGTTCCCTAGCTATGTGTGTGCTACTGGGCCTACTAAGATCACAATTTGCACTGCTCTAACCTTTCTCTAACTCACATTTTATCCTCCTTCCTGTAGGGCTTTCTTAATTGAATTGTGGGTTTCAATGGTGTTTGGATTAGTCTTTGGTTTTTAATGCTTATTATAATTGCAATCCCTTTTCTCCTGGCTCTGACCTAAGGTGTTGTACTCTGCATCTTATCTTTAGACATATCTACATAGTGGTACCTGGGTCCCCTTTTCACCTCTGTGTTTCCTCCTGACATACTTTCATTTTTGTTTGAACTGGTCTAATACATGTGCTATAATTTAGGTAAGGCTAGGGATCATAAATCTGCAAAAGAGTGCTTTGAGGGTTCAAGAAGGAAGTGATTAGTATTGACCAAGAGCAAGGAAGGCCAAACAGGAGAGGTAAGTTTATTTTTTCCCTTCTTGGAAGTTTTACACTTACTACTCCTGTGTTAGGATGCTTATCTGCTGATGTAGATTGTTCCTTCATAGCATGCAATCTACTGCTCAAATATCATACCTTCAGGAATTCTTCTTTCACTACCCCTCAACATATTTATTCCCAAGCTTCATGCTTTGCTTTATTTCCAAATAATTTGCAAATATTTCAAAGTCTGCAATTTTAAAATTTGTGTGTTTGCTTCTTATTTGAGCCCTTCTCTGCTAATGTGCCTAGACTATCTTCAATAAAAGAAAGAGACTGCTCAAAGTATAGATATAGAATTTGCAGATAGGACATGTGTTTTAGGTTTAAGATCAGAGATGACTTCCTTTCCTTCGTAAACCTATTCTCTCTATTTTTCTGTCTCTGCTTCTGTCTCTCTCTCTCCACATAGACACATGCAGATTTTAGGCACACACACACACGGGGGGGGGGGGATTTCTATTTTTGTAAGCCTTTACTTTCATAGATAAAAAATTTAAAAAAATTAAATGTACACATGAGGGTTTTTTTGTTTTGTTTTGGAGAAATTTTTGCTGTAGGGCATGTGTGCTCACTGGAGGCAGAAAGAGACAGAGAAAGTGAGAAATCACCCTACGGGGGGCATGGCCATGCCACAATCCCTTTTCCATTCTCCTCTCAGAATTTTGGGCAGAGAAACAGAAAGCAAGAAGTCAGCCCCTGGGGGGATGGCCATTCTGCAATCCCTTCTCCTCCATTCTCCTCTCGGGATCTTGGGCATGCATGCACACGTGCCCGGCATGAATTTAAGCCACCAGGTCCGGGACTTGAACTGCGGTAGACTACATGGGAATCCAGCGACATAGCCATTACTCCAACTGCTGGTCCCGAGCTTGGATTGAGTTTTAAGCTGACAGATCTGGGACTTGAACCACACTTGACTCCGTGGGAGTCCAGCTACATAACCATTATGCCATCTGGTTCCCATGTGAGGACTTTTTAAGGAATAATCATATTTGAGAGTAAAAGGCAATATAACCAGATTCTTATTACTTGAGTTGAAGGTAAGTAGATGAGACAAGCTGAAAGGAATGGTTACCTGCTATTTCTCTTCTTTGTTCTATCTTCTTGTGTCCACATTGACCACTTCACAATCCTTCTTCAGGGACTCCATGCTCAAAGTACTCCTCTTTCC